CTTGCTCTTCTCAGAGAAAATAATTCCATTGTCTTTACTTCAAGAGAGAAATATAGTAAAGAAAGTTTTTGTTTTACCAAAACAAGTTATAACCCAGCCATGTCCTTCATTCTTAGTGAAGGAAAATATGTTTTCCCTTACAGAAATATTCCCTCTATTAAAGAAACTGCCCTTTAGGTGAATACAAATATAATTTTTTCCCTCACTTGCACAAGAATTTGGTTCCATAATGCATAAATTAAAATAATATTTCATAAATTCTTGGTATCTCATCCCACATTTTCAAAGAGTTAAAAGTTGTTCTTCCCAGAAGAATACACAATACACACAACACCCCCTGCCCCTAAACCCTCCACCAGTCCTGTAGTACTTACTCTCTGTAACCAAAGAGTTATACAAGGTCTGTGAAACAAATGATGACAGGGTAGCTCTGTTATGATTTCACCTTCCACATATTCACTGCAACAGATAGTACAACACTGCTCTTGACCTAAACCCATGATGAAGAAAAAGCATTAATACTTTGTTTTACATCTAAGATAAGCTCAAATTAAAATACATATATTATCAACAGTATCACTAATGATTACAAAGTACAGTCACAGTAACTCCATTATAGATTACTTTTCCAAATGGATCAAAATTATACTCAGATTCAAAAATCTTAAAACAGCATCATGCAGTAATGCATAATGATGCAATACTTAAATATTACATCCATGGTATTAGAGAAAGTTGAACTTGTTCTTACAAACTTTGTGGAAATTACTTTTACATTATTTTTTACACCATTGTAGTCACCTGTGACAAAAATCTGTGGCAGACTAACTATGGTTTCTTTCGTAGCTGGTGGATGAGTCTGTTCAACATCAAAAGTAAGAGACTCCAACTGTGCCAGAGCAGACTGAAAGGGGTAAGCAGAAATCAAGTTCTATTATTCACAAATGTAACATTTCATACAAAACAAAAAAAAAAAAAAACAAAACAAAAAAAAGAATGCAGTTCTAGCAGAATTACTTTTTTAAAATGGAAGATATGCCTGCCAAACTATCCATTTCATCATTTTTATTTTTGTAATGAATGAGATGAAACTGAAGGTCAAAACAGCAATGTCTTGCTTTTAAAGCATTCTTAGATATGAGGACAGTCACAACTTAATCTACAATGAATATTTGTTTATTTTATAAAATTACAGAAAAAGCAGCAAGTTGAAAATGTAATAAAGCGTGCCAATCTAAAACTGTGCTTTCAGTGTGCTTCTGAAAATAAATGCCTCATTAATGTGTTTCCTTGCCTCAATTACTAAATTATTCAGGCACACACAAAAGATATTAAGTACCTTAGCTATACTAAGAGTGTAAACTTCAAGAAATAAAGACCCCAAGATCCATGTAGATATTTCTAATCTTAAGACACATAGAATGCTCTGAAGTAACTTTTTTTAAACTCTTTTTTTTTACCATACAGAATCTTTAAGATTATAAGACTACACCATATTTTCTGTGTGCATTTGCTGTGTACATCATACATTCAACTGTGTAAGACACCGAGAGGATATCCAGTAGAAAAAAACATTCAAATCACAGAACTCAGAATATTTGGTTGCATTTGTTGAGAAATGTACTACCTGTTTGAACAGCACACAAATTGAAACTGAAGAACCAAGAACACAAACACTGGGTTCACACCATGAATGAATTAGTCACATCCTCTAAGTACAACTACTTACTGTTCTAATCAGCTTGAAAATTATTTACGGTGTTGGCCACAAAATTCTCTTGGTAAAAAGTGTAAGATAGCATGGTATTTTTGTAATGTTGGGAATACACTTAACTAAAAAGCTCTATATACTAGAGAAACACTGGACTATACAGAAACCTCTTCAGTCTTAAACTTTCCCCAAAGTTACTACAGCTGCAACTGAAAACATGCCTGGACTTGGATCACAGTGAAAAGGCAGCTCAAGCTATCACACTACCACAGATCTAAACTAGCAGTTTTATACATACAGTCAAACCTTTGTGGCAGAGAGAGACCAGCATGAGCTAAGAAATATTGAAACAAGAAATTTGTCAGTTTAAGGGAAAACCTGGGGTTATTCCTAGTGCAGTGTGAAAGTTCCCCTACAAAACTCTGCTCCAATTTTACAGCTAATACCCATCAAATTCTGGTACAGCAGACTGTACTATCTTTCTAACATTGAGATGATTTTAGTATTTGTATTTGGTTTTTGCTCCAATGGTCTGAGAATAAATAGTAGGTATGCTTAAGCAGAATAACTACTACACCTGAAAAAACTAGATAAGATCCCAGAGATACAGAAGGTTGCAATATTATTTATGTGTCAAACTTTTCTGTTTATATCCAGCATAAGTATTCTCAAACAGAAAGCACTGTATTGCTTGCTTCCAAAACCTACACAAAATAAACGTTATAAACACAAAGCCACAGTTACTCTGAGGCTGAAAGCCACATTTTCAAATCCAAAGCAAAGCAGTGTCTCTTTTATAACTTTTATAAGATGTATCTTCAAAATAACTGTACTTCCTCTTATTGCTCGTGTTAATGCTTACTTCTCCATGCAGCAAAAATAAAATGCTGAACATTTTTCTGTTAAAAACAAGAGTGCTATAGCCTACAAGGGTTTGAGCTCCTCATGTCTGTGAATTGTCACAGGAAATATTTATAAAGTCATTGATGCAGCAGAGGCAACTAGCCTGTTCTGTACTGCTAATGAAGTAAATCAGACACTCCCAGCTATCTAGTTTCTTTGTAACAAATGAAAGAAAAAATATTTAAAATCACATATATTCTATTAAGTTTTAGAAACCCAGAGAGCTATAAAAGCTATACAACATAGCTTTTCAAAATAAGTATCTAATATTTTAATTACTTCTCCCATCCAAATGTCACAATTATTTATGATAGATCTCTCCCAATCCCTCCCCTCCAATTAAGATACACTTGAATTTTGGATGCTTTATTGTGTCACATCCCTTTCAAGTATTTCAAAACAGTAAATTATTTTGCTCATATCTTCTGAATAATTTTAGTAACCACTTCATACTGTAAAAGTATGTGCTCTACATTCTGCTTGAGATTTGAAAGGAATACTTGGAATTCTTACTCAAAACCTGTGTTGTCTGTGCAGTCACAGTCCATACAACTCTTCCTTTTATTACTCAGTTATCACTTTCTGCTGACTAATTCCAAATATGCCAAGGCTTCTATGCCCACCATAAAGTTTCACATGCTTTTTGTGTTACTTTCAAGCACAAATGGTATATAAGAGAATCAGCTTTTCCACATTCACAGTGCCCTGTACCACCCTGCCTGTTTGCTAATGGTGTTCAGTGACACTCTGTTCCTGGTGACACAAACATAATTACAGCACCTCCTTAGCCAGCCATGCACATAATCACCCAGGATTACTTGTACAGGTGACTCTGACAGGACTGCACACATTTCTCCTGACAGAGTACTTAGGCAAATGTTGTTATAAAGGAATGAGAAAGGAAAACTTAGGAGTCATAATAAACTCAGTCGCCTTCTCAAGTCCTAATGTGTAGATAAAAAAAATAAAGATGGGATTAGTTTCCCCTCTCTACACAGATCTTCATGCTTTGGTGCAAAGGAGGTCAACTGTTTTTGCAGTTCTGTTTTTATTGATGTAGTGAGAACCATCCACTACGAAAGAGACAAGAATCTTCTCTATATGGCTTCAAAACACTGCTTTAACAATAAGGATATCAACAGACCTTCTCCAAATTAAAGAAGTGTCTCTAAATAAGTAATGCTAACAAGATCCTACACAGCTGGCGAAGGCCCTGTGATACATGATCATGAATTATGACCTCCTATATACCTTGGGGGACATACAAAAGCTGGAAACTGCATGACTGCCAACTTATGGGAATGGCCCCTTCCACTGTCTTGGAAAAGACCTGGGAATGTTATTCAGAAAATCATTGACTTTGCACATTTAATGGAAAAAAACCCATTATCTATGATTATTCCACTGTCTGCCAGCATTAGAGAGCATTTCAAAGTGCCCTTGATATTTTGTCTGCAAGCACACTATGACATACAGTGCCTGGTTCACCCCTTTAAAGTGGGTACTAGTAGTCAAATTGCCCCTTGCTGCCCTAAACTTACATAACCTAGAAAACATTCAGTTCAGCTGTTGTAACACCATATTACATGTCTACACATCATTTAGGTCTTATTTTGACAAATACCCTGCAGGGGAGATTTCTGGCAGCGCAAGAATTGTCACACTGCATCAAACTAGATCTCAGCTAGCTTTATATTCACTCTGACATTGACCAACCTGAAGTAATAAACAAAAGACAAAGACCATAACCATGCTGGTTCCTGATAATAAATGCTTTGGTCTATATCCAAAATTAGACAGATGAAATGGGATAGAACAAGGTAAAGTCAAAAGGCTTTGTTTTTTTCCAGGTGGTTTCTTTTCCTGATTGGAGTTTTTTTGCTTGTTATTGGGTGGGGTTTTTTTTAAACTTTTTTTAAAATTTAAAATACACAGAGTAAGACAGTCAAACACAGGAGAGTCTTCTAGTCATAAATAAAAGAAATCCAAATGCACTCTTGCCAAAAAAAACCCAAACAACTGGACAACTCACAGGCACAGACTCAAGCATAAGCTTTCCTTTGTTATGTAGAGAATTTGGCAAAAATCTTCAGAATTAAATGGCATATGTTTATACTCGTAGAAACCAGTAACTTTCTTTGCCTTACGAGGAAATAAATGCATATACTAAAAGGAGTAGGTACTGATAAATGACTTCTTGTAGTACACCCTTTAAAAGATTTTTCAAGATGTATTTTCATGTTTGCTAACCCAAAAGTTCAAGCTAACACAGGAAAGTATTTTTCTCTTATTCTCCTGATTTTGAGCTTAAGTTGAAAAATGATTCAACTATAAATATTTATGTCACAATATCACAGATATAAGAAGATCAAAAATATTTTAATACCTCCACAGCTTCTAAGTGTCCATCTAGTGCCATATATGTGAAAAATTGAGGTTCCATGTAAGGAATGGCTTGAGCAAGTCCTAGACCATCACCAAACTCATCAAGTAATCTGAAAAACAAAGGTTAGGAAACATGGTCTTATTTTCAAAATAAATAGTTACAACATACAGTCTGGATATATCAAATTATTGCATAACACCTGTTAATAACAGCCTGATACCCACCCAGCTGATCTCTCCCAGCCTTGCCTCAACTGGACATGTAAATAAGATAAAAAGCTCATGGGTCAAGAAAAAGGGCCAGGACTCATCAATCACTACCACAGACAAAAGAGACTCAATTCAGGAAAAGCCTTAATTTAATTGAAAGGTTGAACCAGATGATCTTTTGAGATTCCTTTTTAATTTAGGCTGCTCTATAATTCTATTAATTTATTGCCAATAAAAATGGATTTGAATGGTAAGAAACAAAGACAAAAACTAAAACGCCTTTCCCTTAGCCCTCTCTTTATTTCCAGTCTCAACATCACTCCTTCATCCTTGAGGCCTCTAGTTTCCCTATCCCAAGCAGGGCAGAGGGAAAGGAACAGGGGTTGTGGTCTGTCCATGGTTAGTTCCTCTTTGCAATACTTCCTCCTCACACTGTTTTCCTGCTCCTACATGGGTTTTTCCCACATGCTGCAGTCCTTCATCAACTACTCCAGCACAGCTTCTCCCCAGACACACTTCTGTCAGCAAGTCCCTCCCTGTTCCACCACAGTCTTCTCCAGCACCTAGAGCACTTCCGGCTCCTTCTTTTCTGACCTTGGTGTCTGCAGGGTTGCTTCTCCCACATAATCTTCATTTCTCTCTCACTCACTGCTTGCTGTTCAGCATTTTTTATCCTTTCTTAGCACCTTCCCAGAGGCCCCACCCTATGGTGGGTCCACTGGAGCCAGCTGGAACAAGCTGTGTCCCACATGGGGCAGCCTCAGCCTCTCAGAGGCAGTTCTGGTCCCAGCACAGTGGTACCATACTCCCACAGTATATACTTCAGAACATCCTGATGGGAGTTTTTACTGTAAAACAGTGTAAGCTCAGCTAATATGTTTCATATGAATGCTATTAAGGTTGTTTTACAACTAACAATCAGATTTTGACTACATCATGTGTCACAGTTCATGGCTTGGCAGGTCCTTTTTTAGTTCAGTTTTATAAATTCAGAAATTAAATCTTAAAACAGGCACAAGTGAAATGATGTACAGGTCTGCATATGCTCAGCAGACCATCAATGTCTCTGTTCCTGTTTCTAGTAACTAGGAAACTTACCAAGGCTAACCTCCAACACATAAAAGACAGCTTCTGTCCCTATCACACAATTCCACTGCTAGCTTACCGCCTGACAGTGTAAGAACATAGGCCTTACTTCTAGTTTGGACTCTCATGCACTAGTCCCTTTTATGCTTTTCTACAATATAACTTCGTAAGGAGAAAACAGTGTTGGTATGTCTGCACTCAAGTCTATATTTTAATAAGCAGAAGAGAGCAAATGTTATGTCTCTCACTGGAAAGCCTTCTATCACATTGTAAAACAAACACATTATACTATTTTGTATGTGGCTCCAATCACTTTATTCCTGGTATTTGAAGCATTTTTATAATAAATTGATTGCAATATCCTTCAGTAACCTAATGACAGAAAATGGAGTGAAGAATTCAAAATTATTATAATATCAGGTAAGTGCATGGCATTTCAAAGAGAAATAAAATAGATTTGTAATGACTAACACCAGTTTCAAAGGAGGAAAAGATCAGTTATAAAATAGGACTGACTTGAATGCTGATTACATTCATATTGCCTTATTTCTGTTACACTTCAACTTGAAAATTAAATTAGAAAATACACCCATGCCTTGCATATTTAGGGCACCAAAATTTTCTCAAATCACAGCCTGATTTAGCAAATCTATTCCTTTTTTTCTCATTAGAAAATACATAGCACTTGAAATACGTTAAACAATAAAACTGAGATGATCAGTCTTTCAAGCAAGCGTATACTGATAACCATAAATACTTTTTACATCTTACACAGAAAATAAAATAGTAACTACAAAACCTCTGAAATGAAAGCAGACAACTATCAAATGCATACCTCCACTCCACATCCAGGTCTTCACTCACACTGGAGTCATCCTCAAGATTGTTATTACCATCCAACAAGAAGAGTCCAAGATGTACAAAATCACTAATTGGACCATTTTCCTCATCACTGCTACTTTCTAGGTCTTCTTGGTACCGTAACCAAGCAATTTCACCTTCCTCCAATAACGTCTGCTCCCTTTATATAAATAAATCAAAAGCTAAAACTAAAAAGCTAAGAGAATTTACAAACACACATAAACAACAAAAACCAAACATAACACAAAAACTAAACAGGCATGTTTCCCAGACTATGGAGTCACAGATTAGAAATTAAGCATTTGCCATAAAAATTCAAGAATTCCCAGAGCTCAGAATCAGTAACACCCATAATTCTATGGCAAAGTTCTGTCTAGTGCTCAAGGCCAGCAGTACAGTAAGCAGTTTGTTTTGAATTTCCCCTAGTACAGACAGCATCCCTGACAGGGTTAATAAATTTCGTACTAAACATTTTCTTCATTATCTACAAGTTCCTAGAGCCATTAAGGAGAAAGATTGTCTTGACATCCAGAGCAGCCTCCATGGTAAAGCTTGGCCTGAATGTGATAAAAAGAGCTACTACTTGCAAGAGAAGCTATCTTGCAAGAGAAAGACTCTTCTCATTCCTGGATATTCTAGAGAAGCAGAAGTCACCTGGATGCAGAGTCATGGGGCGGTGAGTCCTGCTTTCCTTATAGAAAGACGGATTATGTTAAAGATGCATACATTTTCACGCTGTTCATATCAAAGACAGTTAAAAAGCACATAGCTCCATTATTGTTGTTTTGAAAGAGATGAGTTGTTACAAAGTTTTCCTAAAGTCACACTAGTTCTTCAAGACCCAAGAATGTGGAGAATACTAAAAAAGCATTAACAACAAAGGGGACTGCATAGCAATAGGTACTGTGCACCTATTGCTATTCACCTTCTTCCACCTAAGAGTGGAAGAAGCTGAAAGAACACTTAGGTGTGGCCTTTGCTTTATAAAGATTCAAACTAGAGTAAATATTAGATGCTTAGAAAAAAAGCCAAGAACATTCCTCTTAGCTGTATACAGCTACTAATTTTGCCTTATAGCAAAGGCAGCTACAGTTTATGAAGTACTGAATGACTGGAAAAATAAAGTAAGTTTAAAGTTACTAGAGCAAGCAAGAAATTCAAGTTTTCTTTAATCACTGATAGGGCTGCAGAAAATGAGCACCAGTTTAATAGGAGAAATAATAATGCAGAGCAAAAAATAAATTCTTTTCAAGGAGTCCTAAGCAGTATCAAAGGATATTTATGTAACATGTATATCTAAACAATTAACTTGCCTAACTGGCTTTTTAAAGTCAATATATTAAGTCTATTAACCATATTGACACTCCATGTCAATATGCTCTCATTGTTTCTGTATTTTTCATTACGCAGAACTGCTTGCATGAAATGCCGTATTTTCCCTGATTTGAAATACATACAACTACTCAGATTATTGTGATGTAGGCAAATGATTGTTGCTGGCACGGTAACTGCTTTTAGATGTTATTCTATGCAGTGCTATGTGAATACCCTACTACTGGTGATGCTAGAAGCTATAGGAAGTTAGCCAATAGAATAAAGGCATACTCTTGGAAACAGAAGTCTGGGCTCTCCTCTTTCACACTACTGCTGCTCCTCTGCACACCAGGGTCGTGCTCCTGCCTGCTTGAGACAGTCTCCCAGCTTTCATCACCTGAGGACTGCTCGTTTTCCACAGCAGTAAGACAGGAAGACAAAGATGTAGGCCATTCTCCATCACTGTACTCTGAGCTGCAATTTAAACAAATAACAGAGTATGAATTCAAACACTGCTTTAGGGGAAATAAAACAATTTCCTACCTTTCTATCAACATTGCTCTCAATATAGGTAGCTTTTTTCTAAGAGAAATTAGTCTTGTGCTATCTATAGACGCATTACAAATCAACTTTACCTAGAGTTTTTTAAAAAAAATTAGTCTCTGAAAAAGAATTCCAACATTCTACCCATCCTACTTTGCAGTGTTTTGTTCTTCCCTTGCTGCATATGTAGCGTACAGGAAACAACTCAAGAACAGAAACCAGACTCACTATGCACATACTTTTTCCAGGATAGAAAAATGGCATCAGTGGCACAGTTTGATTAACAAATATTAATCAATGTTGGCCTTACCCCTCAGCCAAACAAATTTAAAGTAACAGCTCTTAGAACGTATAATCCATCTAGAATGATCTTTTTTAACATAGAAAGATATAATGGATAACTTACTTACAAAACTATTTTATTTGATTTTTACTGCAAACCCCAAACAAGATGAATGGCAAGGAGTTTTGAAAAGAGAATTTGCTCAGCCACCACAAAGCAAAGGGCAATAAATATAAGCTTTGGGCAGCTTAAACAAAATAGTAGAGTTAGCACAATCTTAGGAAGGATGAACTGCTGCTAGCACTGGTAATGGCACTTAGATAACTCACTCACTACAGTGATAGTTTTTGAAATTCAAAATAAAGCCAACTAGCTATGTCATTTCAAAAAGTTAGAGAAAACATAGATGCGAACAGCCAATATACTTACCTAGACCTCATTTTATACAGCAATCCACAACACCCACAGCATAGTTTTCTAATCTGCTAAACCCAGTATGTTTAAGTGTATTGTTACCTCCCACCTACAAATTCACTAATTTCCTCCCTTTATCAAACAGTACAAATGCATTCCAATTGAACTTTCAATTTAAGGAATTTTAAGTGCTTTTGAAAAACTGCATAGTACACACCGCAAGTTTTAAGAGAATAAATAAGTTCAAGACAAAGATTATATATAAGCATTTTAACTTGAGGCAGGAATAAATTTTTCTATCACAATTTTGATGACTAAGAAAAGTGATGGAAATGAGAATATTCATTGATTTTTGGCTATTTTAATGGATTACTTTAAAATAGAAATCATATACATTATGAATTCTAATATGTAGTCTAATGCATTTCATATTACACCATCTAAAACTGAATATTGACTTTTTAAAATCTTTTGTTATGTTTGGTTCTTTGGTTTTGGGTTGGGAGTTTGGTTTGGATTGTGTTTTGTTCCTGTGTTGTTTGATCAAGCTATTTTATATTTTACAATTTCATCTTAGATATATACAATATATACAATTTCATCTTAGATGAAATTGTATATAGCTGTATATAGCTGGAATACTTAAATGCCTTGTTTTAGTTGTCTCTATTTACAATCTGAGAATGACTTCCAACATACTTAAAAATACTCCTCCTTTGCTTTTAATCAAATTTGTTCTATTTAAGGTTTATACACAAAAACTAATTCAAACCAGAAAAGGATATACCTAGAGTCACTAACACTAAACAACTGAAGCACATTAAATATTTCAGAACTCAGGATTTAACTGTGCTCAGTTCTGCATGAGTCCAGAACATTACTTAATGGTTAGAGTGTTACAGACTTATCACTTGCCAAAAGCACAGCACATGAACTTACATCTGCATGTGGATTTGCTGACACTAGTCCCTCCCCTGGCTGAACCCCCTCCTGACCTGTACCTGGCACACAGGCCAAAATTAAATGGACTGAGCTAATAGATATGATCCTCCTCCCTCCAACCCTGCCCTGGGACCTTCTACCACCCTTCCAACTTCAAACATACATGGTTCTCACAAACATGCAAGACTTTCTCCCTCCCACACAGTTTCCACAAGCTAATACCACAATAGCTGTGCATCTCCTTGAAGAGAAAATGCAAGGTGGAGGCCCACACTGCAGCAACCAAAAGGTGAATTTCTCCCTGGGCTGGGAATAAGCTAAAACTGAGCTGAAGGATGTAGTCTGACAGTTATGTCAAATCCACTTTTTATGTAGCTCTGCATGAACATAAAATGTGGTTTAAACCTTAAAACATAAAACGTCACCTTTCAAGAGTGAACATATTACTCCTTTGTACAGACTAATCATTGAAAATTTATTTATTAAATATAAGTATTTTTAGGTTTTAGAACATAAATTACAGGGATTCTAAGTTAAAAACACATGACTCCTGTTTACTAGTTCAGTTACTGTCAAGAACATTTCAAATAATCAATCCATGTTTCTTTCTGTCCTGCTACAATAACCCATCACTGTGCATCACGGAAGCCAATGCTGTTATTTTAGATTACACCTCCTTCATGTCGTTTTAATTTTGTAGCAGCAGCATTTCAAAAATTGAAAAGATTATGCACTAAGAAAAAATTTTGAAAGTAAACCTTACAAGGAAATGAAGGATTCATTTGCAAGTGCATTTATTAAGAATCACAGAACAGTCAGAGTTGGAAGGGACCTTTGAAGATCATCCAGTCCAACCTTTCTGCCACCTTGCCATCCAACCCTTCTGCAGTCCAACCTGGGACACAGAAATAGTCCCAGGTGAGTTTGGAATGTCTTCAGAGAAGGAGACTCCATGACCTCCCTGGGTTACATGTTCCAGGGCTCTGTCACCCTCAACCTGAAGTTCTTGTTGCGGTAGAACTTCCTGTGTTTTAGTTTATGGCCATTGCTCCTTGTCCTGTCACTGAGCACCACTGAAGGGACTCCGTCACTGCCTCGGAGCTATTTATTTGCATTAGTGAGATCCCCTCTCAGTCTTCTCCAGACTAAACAGACCCAGATCCCACCTCTCCTCACAAGAGAGATGCCCCAGACCCCTCATCATCTCTGTGACCTCCACTGGACCCTCTTCAGTAGCTCCTTATCTTTCTTCAACTGTGGAAACCAAAAATGAACACAGTACTCCCAGATGTGCCTCACTAGAGCAAGAAGGGGAGCAGGATCACCTCCCTGACCTGCTGGCCACACTCTTCCCAATGCATCCCAGAATACCTCTTCTCTCCTGGCCCCGAGGGCACACATGACGAGCTCATGGTCAACTTGTCACCCACCTGCACCCAAATGTCCTACCCAGAAGAGCTGCTCTCCAGTGGGTGGGCCCCCAGCCTGTGCTGCTACTGGGCGTTATCCCCCACCAAGTGCAGGATCCCATACTTAACACCTTGAAGAAGAGAAGCCCCCAAGTCTACTATTTTAAAATGCACTTTGTTCTCTCATAGTTGCAATTCTGCAATGTTTTAAGGACAAGATATTATGCCAACTAATTTTCACGCTTTTCTCTCTATAAAAATACAGGACATACAATCTACTAAGCAGGTTAGCTTACGAACAGCAAGCACATGCACAGGAGAGCCACATCAACATCCAGAAGACATGTCTTGTAAAGAATGCAGTGGGAAGAGAATCAACAAGATGAAAGGAAATTGCAAGAAAAAGAAGGAAAAAAGCCATTACAAACACTACTACATCTTCCATAAATTATCATAGGGTTAGAAATGTGTTTACCCTCAAATAGCTTGATTATATAATTCCAGTTAATAGTGAAAAGTTCTAAGCTAACATTTTATGAACAGAAGTTAATCAACATAAGGTTTATCTAAATTTCCTTGTCTTTTGGGTGATGTCTTAGGGTGACTATATGATGCTTTTATCCCTAATCATCTGTTCTGTTTATGCTGTATATTAAGTTCTGCACCTTTAAGACTGGTTCTGAGAGTGAAGCAGGGAGAAAGCAGTGCACAGTTTGTTATCAGAAACTGCACTCACCCCTCCACATTGCTGCTCCTGGACTGTGTTGTCTGCAGCATAGACAGAGAGCAGAACAGAGCTCTCCTTTGCTTTTAGTAAGCTTTTAGTTATCTGACGCAGACAAGCTCCCTGGACTGTGATTTTTCTTTTTCTTGGAACTGTTCAAACCCTCTCTGGACTGAAAACTCATAAAAACACCGGAAGCTCACACCTGTGGCCCGTTGAGGCCCAGGATGCTGCATTCCAGCACCAGAGGGAATGATAAGAGACTGAGCGAGCTGAGTTACACCCCACAACAAGGACTCTGAATTTTAATACTTTTTCATTTTTTATGCTTGTGAATACTTCTCTTGTTAAATGAACCATTTTTTCAACTTTTCCCCAAGGAAATAGTTCCCTGAATCAGCTGGGGGTGGGGCCACTTGAATCTGCTTTCTAGAGGGACTGCTTTTGGAGTTTCGTCCCAAATTCATCCTAAACCAGGACAGCTGAAGAGCTCAAGGGAGAAACCTGAACATTGCTTCTCGTGTCAAGGTCGGAGCAATTTGTAAATCTAAAACTGTCACAATTAATAGCTACTTTGGAAACATCTAGTAGTCTGAACAATTTCCATTAAAAAGGGATTATAAGCAACCCTATCAAGTTATGCTTCAGATATTAAAAGGAAGAACAATTTCTTTCCAAAGGCTGGAGATAAGAACATAAATAGGCTGTCATGCAGAATACTGAGATTTGGAAGCAAAAATACCCAAATTCTGAAGAGTAATCCTAGAAGGAAACTTTTAAAGCTGAACAAGGCTTTCAGTCTTTACCCTCCATCTGCTCAGTAAAAATGAAATAAAAATAAACTAATATTCCTCACTGATAGGATGCTCTGACTGCAGACATAAGGCTTTTTACATTACCAGAAGAGTGAAGGATAACTGAATGGAAAAGTTGACATCTTGTTATCTGATCATATTCAGAAATGCCTTAAGTTTTTATGTCTCATTTGCTAACATTTTGTTCAGTTTATCACACTATTTACACAAAAGATTCAATACTAAAATAGATATAAAAATAAAATTTTTACCTGTCTTCATCTTTGTGGGGCATTACGTAATGTGTGTTGTGGTCCTCTAACTCATTCCAAAAAACACTGTCACTTAGGACATTGTTTTGCTCTCGAGCTAGTGCATTTCTTCTTAAGTCTGTTTCTATGTTCTTTTGATGACTGCGCATTCTTGAGAGAAAGAGAACACCAGAACTCATCTCATCTTTGCCATCTCTCAAGGGACACTCAGGATGGCACTGCTGGACATCAGCAATTCCAGTTCTCCTCCAGGAATCATTTTCCTCTTCATCATCACTAGTGAGATAATTTTCTCCCTCCAGTTGTTTAGCAGTATTTTGTGTTCTAATTTTAGGTCTCACTACCAGCTCAGATGAATTTTCTTGGTCAGTGTCTCCATCACCAATGTTTAATACATCAGCAACTGGTACAGGGGTTCCAATTCCAACATCCACTATATGTTTTGTCTGCTGTGTTTCATAACTCAGGCTAATTTTTGGTGCAGCTTCATCTTCAGCAGATTTAAGTGTCCTATGGTTTGGACATGCCAAAGGCATTGGACCTCCTTCTTCGCAACTTTCTCTAGAAATGCTGTGGTTTAAAGCAGACAGTGGGGACTCTAAGTCATTAAAAGACCCCATGTCTTTTTCATACTGAGAAAGTATGTTATCTAGTCTTCCCTGAATTAGACCTGCTGCTTCTCTTAACCAAGAATATTCGTCTAGAACATCCTCTTCATCTCCATCACTGCTATCTGGCTCATAGGAGTCAATGTTTACAAAAGCAATTCCATTTTTACCATTCAAATCATCATGCCCTCCAGATGTGCATTCTGCAAAGTCCTCAGATTTTTCATAAGGATTCATCAAGTCCCGTGAGATTTTGTTGCCTTCAAGGCCATAGCAGAATACAGAAATTGGTGATGTTTGGCTTGATGCACTTTGGCAAACAGGTTCTCTAATATCAGCATCTTTTGACAAAGGTTCATCTAATAATTCAGTAGAAACTTGAACCAATGGACTAGAATCTTCACAGAAAGCTGTAAGAAAGAATGCACTGGAATAACCAAAACCAACAGAAATATTCTTGTCTACAACAACTCCCCATTTAAAAAGGAATAATTTACTAGGACTGCAGTACAAAGTGATAGAAACATTTATCAGAGATGTAGTCATTCTTCAATAATATATTTACTTTCTCATTTATACAAACTAAGCCTACAGAAATAGATCTAAATTTAAAATAAAATTCCAGCTACAGATGTGATAGGGAAAAAAGTATTAAAGGAATATATACACAAGCAGAATTTTTACATTGTTAATATAAAAGGAAACTTTAAGATAACAGGAAAGCCAAAAGAACATCTCTCTTCATATGGGACTATCCATTAACTAGCTAAATTGTGTCTTCTGCCACACTCAGATAAAGTCACTTATTGCTACTATAAATTACATACTAAAAGAACTGTTTTCTACCTGCACCTTTGAGTGCAACTCCTCATAAGAAGAAAATAGCAGGGTTGAATATGGTATTACAGTTAATAGTTGCTTCATCACAAATGCATTTTACATATATTACACTTGAACACCTCTTGCCTAAAGGAGCAATATACATCAATTCTAGCAGCAAGAGTTAAAGAAGGTAAAAACATGGATACTACTGCTACTACAAAATCAGTACTTTTCAAATAATTTTTAAACTCCTAACCAAAGCAACAGTCCAAACTATTCTGTCCAGAATCTCATCTGAATCATTAGATGAGGCTCCATTACTAGGCCAGTGAATTCCAGACACTGGAATCTTATGACAGCTATGCTCTTCAGCACTAGGAGTCTGGCTTCTAGGAAATAATACTGTATCTAATTAGAATCTTGAAGCTCCTCCACAAAATTGCTATGAGCCAAGGCTGGTTGGCAGGCCCCTCTACAGATCATCCACTCCATTACTCTTACTCAAGCAGAGTCAGATATAGCAAGTTACCAAGGATCAAATCCAGTCATGTTTTTAATATTGTCAGTATTATCTCCTCTTACCCATCTTCTACAGTTGTTTTGATTCCTAAAGCACCAGGATGGTAACTTCAGGGTACAGGTACTAAAGGGGTCAACTAGGAAAGGTGCCCTCCTTGATTTACTGCTTGATAACAGAGGGTCTCATGACCCATATGGAGACTGGCGACAGTCTTGGCCACAGTGAACATGAAGTGATAAGAGTTCAAAGTCTCTGGTGAATGAAGAAAAAAGTAAAAAATTCAACTCTAGACGTAAGGAAACTTCAGGCTGCTCAGGGAACTAGTTAGTGAGATCCAGGGAAAATGCTCTGGAAGCTGCTGGGGACAGTGCTGGTCATTTTTAAGGACCACATCCCAAGGGCATAGGAGCAGTCAATTCCAAAAATGCTGGAAGTCAAGAAAGTGAGATAGAAGGCTGGCTTGGATGACCAGGGATCATCTTTTCAAGCTAAAGCCAGAAAAAAGGTGTATGGCCAGTGGAAGAAAAGTTACGTGATATGGGAGGAATAGAGATGCTGCTGCCACTGTAGGGAAAAAATCAATGAGGCAAAGCTCAGTTGGGATTGATGGAGGCCAGAAACATGGGGGACTTAACAAAAAGAGTTTTATTAACTATGTCCGTAGCAAAGGCAGTGCAGGAATAACATTAGCCCATTACAGGATGATGGTCACCGCACAGACAGGGACAGAGAGAAGGCAGAGTTGTTACATGATCTCTTTGCCCATCTTCAAGACTGATGAAGAGAGGATGTCCAAGGAGGTCCCAGATACCTGAGCTGGAAAATGATCAACTCCCAGTCAATCCTGAACATGCATGGGATCAGCTGCTCCTGCTGTAAGTTTATAAGGCCTGATGGGATTCATCTGAGGATAGCCAACTAGTCAGCTGATATCACAGCAAGGCCTCTCTCAATAATTTTTGAACAGTTCAGGGAATCTGTAGAGGTCCCAGCTGACTGAACCATGGCTAATGCCGTCCCAGTTTTCCAGGAGGGCGAGGACGACACAGGAAAGGCAGGCCTGTCAGTCAGCCACATACTGCTACAGTCCATTTCAGTGACTGATAAAATTACAGACATGACTGGTGTAGTGAAAAACCTGAAGGAAATGCAGCCCTTGGCCACAGCTAGCACAAATTCATGAGGAGAAAGTTCAGCTTGTCAAATATGACAAGGTATCCCAGCTACTGGATCAACGGAACTTACTCATGTAATCTTTATGTATTTTAGCAAAGGTTTTGATACTGCCTCACACAGGCTTCTTCTGGACAAAACACCCAGCACACAGCTGGATAAACACATCATGTGATGGGTGAGTAACTGGCTCACAGGTCAGGCACAAAAGGTGACAGTGAATGGAGTGAAATCTCACTGGTGATCTGCCACTAGTGGAATTCCACAGGGCTCCATCCTCATCCCTGTGCTCTTCAGATCTTCATGAACAACTACGACACAGGACTCAAAGGTGCATTAAGTATGTTTGCTGATGACACTAAGATGGGATGCTGGAGAACAGCACAGGGGACCCTGGTCAACAGCAAGTTCAACATGTGTAGGCAGTGCCCTGGCAGCCAGGAGGGCCAGCCCTGTCCTGGGGACATCAGGCTCAGCATCACCAGCTGGGCAAGGGAAGAGATTGTCCCACTCTGCTCTGGGCTGGGGCAGCCTCATGTCAAGTGCTAGGGGCAGTTTTGGGTACCACCATGTGAGATACAAAGATATTAGAGAATGTCTAAAAGAGGGCTATGAAGATGGTGAAGAAACAAAACGGGGAAGCCACACAAGGAGCAGATGATGTGACTTGGTCAGTTCATCTTGGAGAAGACTGAGGGGAGATCTCACTGGGGTCTTCAACAACCCCAGAGATGAAGAGGAGGGGAAGACCTTGATCTCTTCTCTGGGGAGCACAGTGACAGGACACAAGGGAATGGCCTGAAGCTGTGTCAGGGGAGGTTTAGGTTGGGTATCAGGTAAAGGTTCTTGCTCCAGAGGGTGGTTGGGCACTGGAACAGGCTCCCCAGGACAGTGGTTGCAGCACTGGCCTGAGTTCAAGAAGTGTTTGGACAATACTCCTGGGCACACAAGAGTGATTCTTGGGGATGTTCTACGGCCAGGAATTGGGCACAATGATTCTTGTAAGTGCCTTCTAATTCAGAAAATATGCAGCATTTTAGGTAATACCTATCCAGCCAGGGAAAAATATAGCCTACTGGAGACAAAGAAAGTAAATAAATCCAAAATATAATTCCAGCCAGGGAAAAATATAGCCTACTGGAGACAAAGAAAGTAAATAAATCCAAAATGGTTCTGTAAGACAAATCTGAAGAGTTGTAATATACACACAAGCAAATGTAAAGAAAAGGCATCTTGTTATTAAACTAATGTACATACAAAGCAACTGTATTAGGAACAGGGAGAGAATACACCCTTAAACTGCATATATCTAATGATCCATAAAATAACTGCATGCATATCTGTATAACTGAAACAACAAATGTGGTAGCATTATATAGAGACTCCACTAACATCAATACTGCCTTACAGGAAACAGACCTTTAACTAGATGGAAGAATAGAACATGTATAAAGCATGGACAACAGTAAACACACTTCAATTACAAAAAAATTAAAACCACCCCAAGATGATCACCTAACAGATTACAAAAACAACTGAATACAAAGCTAAGACAGCACTGTACCATTATCATTTTAAAAGAAAAAATTAGAATAAGAAAGCAGTTTCAAAACAGTCTCTACAGGAAGGAGAAAAAAAAAAGCTGCCTTGTAGAGCAATAGAATCACTTATGCTGGAAAAGACCACTTAAGGTATCAAGTGCAACCATAAATCTAACACTGCCAAGTCCACCATTAGACTATGTATGCACGCCTTTTAAGAACCACCAGGAACTGACAACTGCCAGTTTTTCGAGCAGCCTCTTCCAATGACTGGCAAACCCTCTGGTGAAGATACTTTACCTAACAGCCAATTAAACCTCCTCTGGTGCAATCTGGGGTCATTTTTTCTTGCTCCATCACTTGTTACTGGGCAGAAAGAACCACACCCGCCTTGCTCCAGCCTCCTCTCAGGCAATTGTACAGAGCAGGAAGATCCTCTGAGCCTCCTTTTCTTCAGACTGAACACCCCCAGCTCCCTCAGCTGCTCTTCATTTGACTTGTACTCCAGACCCTTCCCCAGCCCTGCTGCCCTTCTCTGGACACCTTCCAGCCCCTCAATGTACTTCCCGAACTGAAGAGCCCAGAACTGGACACAGCACTTGAGCTGTAACTAACCAGTGCTCAGCACAGGCAGACTGTCACTGCTCTGGTGCCACATTATTACTGACAAAGGCCAGGGGCCCTTGGCTCACACTCAGCCAGTGTTGAGAAGCATCCCCAAGTCCTTTACCCCCCAGGCACTTTTGAAGATCTAAGGTTGTATCAAATAAGATTTTTTAAACTGAAAACCTCAGGCAAAGACATGGGACCGTATTTCTAATCCAAGAAGGCATTCTGTATTCCTCTATTAAATTATTATTCAGATGCTAATGTCACAGAAGGCATTTTGGTAAATACTAACATCCAGTACTCATTAAACAAGAAAGGGTCTAACTGGTATACACAAATTTAAAAAAAAAAGAGAACTTTTAAAGATGTTTTAGAGGCTTCAACTTATTTTACCTATGGTTGACAAAGAGAACAACCTGGTTTATGATGCATCAAATATTTCACAGCCTCATTCCAAACAGAAGGTTAGAATAGGCATTTTCTTCCAAATGTGAATTTTAATTTGCACAAAATAATTTGAACTGAACAATGTTATTGTTTTCTAGTTTGTTAGAACACATGATGAATGTTCTTCAGGCAAAACTACATAGCCTAATATAGATTTATTAGATTACTTATACTTTATAGAATGAAATTTAGTATAAAAGCAAAATAAAAACATAGGAAATGTACTTTTCATGTTACTTAAGTGGCTCAATAACATGAGCCCCTTATATGGCTATCAATGTGCCTTTCTCCTCCAGCCCCAAGCATCCCAGTTTGCAATGAAATGGCACATACCCAAAGATATGTACATACATAAAGAATTCTCTTTCTGAACATCTTCCAATTCTAATTGTTTGCAGTCGTCATTTCGTTGATGTCCACCTCTGTCTTGATTATTCAAAAACGGTCTAAGCCCAAGAAAGGAATGTTTTCTTTCACCTGTAATAGTCTGATATCCTCCTGCAGATTTGGGCCAGGCAGTTTTGCCAAGTCCTTGGCCCATTGCTACACAAGATTATGGAGGAAAGAAAAAGACAGAGATACTTGTTAAACAACATGTCTTTGCAGTTTCCCTCCTCCCTAACACTTTGATATACTCTTTTACCAAGGAATTTTCTATTTCTCTAAAGTCTTAAGCTTCATTTACAATGTGATTATTAAGAACATAGAGTGCTCTGAGCCCATCCATTATGAAAGCATGTAACTGAGTTTTCATCTACACTAAATAATACTGGCAAACACTTATTGTGTCCCCATCTTAACGTGTCTTTAGAACACAACAGAGACTTAATAGTTTTTTGTTGGTTTTTTTTTTAATCAATCCCAGATGTCACAGGTTTTTGTTTTTTTTTTTTTTTTTTTCACTCTGTTCATAAAGGTGATGCAACACATGTATCAGCTTGCAGAAAAGATTTGCAAGCACTGCAATGGAAAATCCTTCAGGTAAAATAGCACAATTCAGGCAGCCCTAGCTAGCTTATCTTTGTGACTGGAAAAGTATAATTAATCAATTCACACTTTCTAAAATTAAAGTCTCAGGGAGAAGGCTTTATTCTTACTGCTAGAGGTAGTATGTTCAGGCATGGCCATACAAAGCATAGCCCACACATTGCTTCTTCTTGCAGTAGTTTTTCTTATTAATGAAACTTACGGCCTTTACCAAGAAAATATAGCATAAGAACTTGAGAAACTGTGGAAAAAGGCTACAATATTGTAACAAAGAGAGATTTTAATTCAGCAGTATTATCAGGTATTAATAATCTAACACAAGAGTTCATGCCCAAAAGCTGTTGCTTTACAAATGCAATTAGAAGTTCACTATTTCAGCTATAGAGTGACTTCTTTGTGTCCCTCTAAGTCACTTTTAATCTTTACTAGATATGGAATCAAAAAGTTTCTGTTCTTGAAACTCACCAAATTAAAAAGTTAACATTAAAGATAAGGAAGATTAAGTTTGCAACCATTAATATAGAGTATTATGAACCTTAAAAAAAGCTTCATATTTTTCTATTTCCTGGCTGTGCAACTAATCTCTTCATTACAGTTAAAAAGAGAGTATCTATGGGCAGACACATATTAAAGAGACTGAACCTTGGCAGAAAAAAAATTAGCAGGTAGCTGAGGCATATTTTTCATGATTCATCTATAAAGCTCTACGTAGTTTGATTACACATAATTTTCCCTGGAAATATTTTTGAGTATTTGTCCAGATCTGCCTATCCTACATTAAAAATCAGAATCTAAAATGTTTGTTTTGTTATTAACTATACCACTCCTGAAATCTTAAGAAAGGTGAAAACTCTTGACATCTTTGCCAAACAAAAATCCTGGCAACTAATGCAAGAAAAAACAGGACTGACATTTCATTTTCCTATCTAGTCAGCCAGTAGTTAATATCTTTATTAAATCAACCAGCAAGTTATTTCTTTTCAACCAAGCTCTGACAATTCTGAAATTTCCCTTCATTACAGCATGGTTGGTCAGCAGACTGCCAGAGGGAACTGATATTTAGCAGCCTCATCCAAATCTGTAGAATAAAATCCAACAGCTAAATTAGTAAATCAGAATAGCAATGCAAAAATCTGTTCTTGAACAGAGAAGTGGTTGAAACAAACAAGGTAAAAATACAACAAAATTGCATAACTCTTAATTTCATTTTTTTCTCTAAAACATCAGCATTGTTCAAAAACAGATGTCCACTCAGAGTCAAGCTCTCTGAATGCAAATGCTTAATTTTTTATAAAACTGATGTTCACAACATGCAAAATCTGTTTAATGCACTACATCTTTTTGTTCCAAATAATGCTGTCACATACAGAGCCTCTCATCACATATTCAATTGTTTCTAGAAGACAGAGCAGGCAGTTACTATTCTTCTGTCCTGGGGGAGACTTATCCCATCAAGACAGTGAAAGCTTCCACCACTTACTGGAGGTATGGATGTCACATTTGCTTTTCAGGAGAGGCTAACTTCTACCTAAATACAAAATATCTCAAAAATAAAGAGATGGAGACATGCACTTGAGAAGCATTTAGCCACATGAATGCAAAGATCATTTACAAGAAACCCTTCAAGACATTGAAGCTGTGAAACACAATATCCTCTATCAGGTATTTCTTCCAGGCTAGCTCAGCCTAAGGAGTAGGTATTGCTTCAGGTCAGTTTAGTAGACCTGTTCAAAGCACACCCAATAGTCCCTGACAAAATGCATTTCTGTAAAATGGACCAGTCTTAGAGAAGCAACACACCAGTGAATAAATAACTAAGGTATAGGGCAAATGAGGTAATTATTCAGTTCTCTGGGTGAAGATGTTTATACACACACCTCCATGCTTCCAGAAAAAATATTGCAATCACCTGAATTCCTCAAAAGGATTGTGAACAGGAAAGCATTTTGGATTACCAGAGCTATTAAAAAATAGGAGAGATTGTCTCATAAAACACACAGTTCACAAAGAGGTAGATCCAACCTTTAACAGGCACTGCCTTAATCACTGACAGAGTGGTGTGCTTCCTCTACTTCTACCAACACTGCACTAAGGACACCACTCCCTAGGGACACCAAATAACAGGCTGGAGCACAGACAGCCTCAGAATCTAGACCAAATCCTAATCAACTTGTCCTCTTCCATGAATTTAAAAAAAGGAAAAAAAAAAAAATCCCCGTTTTTCCAGATGTAAGTGTTCAAGATTAGAGTAGATGCATGCCTGCATGTGCTCACAACCTAGCACTGTATATTTAAGTTACAAAAAACATCCATGTTCTTGACCACAATACTACATTAAAAAAATCTCAAACTGATTTACAGAGCTACATGTAGGACTGGAATTTCCTGCTCAGACGGATGCTGGCAGGATCCTGTCCACACCCACTGAAACCTGGTCACCTCTCTTTAATCTCCTCTCCATTACCTTTTGTTCGCTCCTATCTGCTCAATTCCATCACATCCTGTGCACCAGTGACAAGAGCAGCAGCTCTCTTGGATCAAGCAGTGCATGACTGAGGGCCATGAAGGTGATCTGAGGCTGGAGCACCTCACCTATTTAGTCAGCCTGAGAGAGCTGGGGCTGTTCTGCCTGGAGAAGGCTCCAGGAAGACCTTCTAGCACCTTCCAGTACCTAAAGTGGGGCTACAAGAGAGTGGGAGAGGGACTTCTTACCGTAGGCCTATTACATAGGAGGAAAAAGCTTGGCAGACTGTGGCTGGGGGGCCCAGAGGGGATTGGGCAAGAAGGTGGAAGTGAACAGTTCCAAGTTTCTCCTTCTGCTGCAGGAACTATTTAACTACCTTTCTGGCTTTTTTTTTTTAAATGTGAAGTTAGCCTCAAATATTTCTAAGAAGTATTTTTTCAATCTAACAAATATTTTTTTTTAATGTTCTTCCTCAGGTTTTCCTAGCATTTGTAAAGAAACCTTGCATGCACATTCTGAACCCAATCTCAACACTTGACATAGAAACAAAAATAAATCCTTTATCCTCCTCAATTGCTCTTTTTTCTCTTATATCCATGAATTACAGAAAACATTTTCTCCTACAAGCCAACAACAGGATCTCACATTCAAGGTTTGAAAAGAGAATGCATGGTATACTGATACAATTACTGTTTTCTAGGTTATCATCTTAAAAAAAAATCTGCATTTATTTCCAGAAGTATATGAATTCATTTGGCTGTCAAACAGGCAAAACTTAAAACCTTAACTCATTTTCTTCACACCCTCCCCCATAACTGACTATTTCTGAATCATAACAAAGTCACACCCCTTTTCAACACAAATGTTGCAGGAAAAGTATTCAAATTATTTTAAACTGTATTATCCAATGTTCTTTACATGTAACCAGAATTCTACATCTCTTTCTTCTGCAGGTATTGAAAGCTTTTAAGAGCAGTTGGATTAAAAAAAGAAAATAATTAGAAAGGAGCATTTTTTAGTTTGCTAAGCACCACTGCTCAGGACTGCAAAGAGATTACTTCATTTCAGTTAACAGAAAAAAGGTACACAATCCCAAAAATGAGTGGAATATTTCAATTTAAATAACTGAAACAACATACTACTGTCACAATTTCCTTCTCTTGCCTCTATGAGCAGATTAACACCGAAAATATTTAATTTTTTTACAATGCTTACAACCTTCAGACTACATACAATAGCAGATTAATACTCACAGCAATGAATATTCAGTTAAAATTTACTTTTGTGGTCTGGTATTAATCTTAACCTCAGAAAAACTACATGCCAGAGTCTAACCCCAGCAGGCAGCTAAGTACCACACAGGTGCTCATTCACTCTCCCAACCAGTGGGTATGGAGAGAAAATAAGAAGGGTAAAAGTGAAAAAACCCATGAGCTGTGATAAAGAGAGTTTTGGAATCTGGGTTTTTTTTTTTAAGGAAAAAATAAATAAGAAGACCAAGACATCAAAGCAAGGAAAAATGAATACAGCAAATAAGAGCTAATTGTTCACCAGCAACCCAACAAGCTCAGACAGCTCCAAAGTCCAGCAGCCTGGCCAACCTTCCTCCCCCTATCAGCTGAGTGTGATGCCACATAGTCTTGAATATCCCTCTGATCAACTGGGGTCAACTGTCCTGGCTGTGTCCCGCCACAACTCCTTGTGCACCCCCAGCCTTCTCACTGCTGGGGTGAGAAGCAGAGAAGGGTTTGGCTAGCAGTAACAAAAATATCCCGGTTTATTAACACTGTTTTCAGTCAAACATATAGAACATTATCCCATGCAAAGTGTTGTGTAGAAATTTAGCTCTATCACAGTTTAAAACAATACACTGGATGATAAACAAAAATCAAATATTTTTCTTATGGATCTAATTCATTCAACCAAAAGTTCCTTACTCAAACTCTCTGGTTTAGAAATGACTTAAGGCTCCTCACTAGGATATTTGAGAACACAGTAACAATTATTTTCATAAGCAGTATCAGCTCAGCTACAAGTACACTGACAAATGGAATATGCTTCAGGGACATACTTTCAAGGCATTGTCTTTTCATCAACATTACAAGCCATTTTGAACTCTCCTTTAAGCTACAGATTCCACTAAGTCAATGTTTTCACTCAGTATATTTCCTTCTCTCTGCCTGAGGCTGCAAGCAGCCTGGAGCCCAAATTCAATAAGCTGTCAGGCTGGTCCACTACTGATTTCATTTTAAATTAGAATATTGTTTATTAGTGGTTTTTTCACCTCTCAGATTACATTTTTTTAGAATAGACCTCCAAAATCCATGATCATAGAAAAATATTCTGATACTGGTTTGAGACTCTTCCCAAAAGAGGCAAATGATCATCAGCAAAGAGCAGCTTCTTCCTAAATACTAAATGGTTTCTGTTTTGCATTTCCCTAAAAACCTGCAGTTTTGTATGCAATTTGTGCCATAAATGCAAAACTGAAGTTCTGAATTATGACAGCCTATTAATATTACACATATAACTATTAATTTTACAAATAATAAATTTCTGCATTTACCAAAACATTAGTCAACGTGAAGGCTAAAAGAAAGAAGTTGGTTACTATTTTGGACACTGTATATCCCAAATCTCAATAATGACCTCCTATAAACATCATAAACAATTCACAACTCTACCCAAATTAAGAAAAAATTTTGCCAGACTTGAAATGGAGCAAGTGCTGCCACTATACAAACAAGAGTGAATTAAAGTATATGCATGAAAATATCAGTGGTTGCTTTAAAAGAAATGCATTAGATATATTCACAGGACAAGTCCTGAAGCAGAGACAAAAATTCTTCAAGTCCAGAAGTCCCTTAATAAGTAGAACCCAGTCATCACCTTCTATACGGAGGTGTCTGAATGGGCAAGTTGCTACAAATTACCATCTTAAGGCAGCTCCCTTCTGTCCTTAAACACCCTCCTACAGCTGAAGATCCTGCACAGCTCCTCTCCTCCAGGCTCTTCTGACCAAAACGACAGCACAGACCGCCCTAGGCTGATGTCTGACATCTGGTGACTTGAGCCAGAGGTAGGGTGGCTTCCTCTGATGCAGCTTCAGGTGTCACTGCAATGGTTGGCTGTGAAGCTCTAAAGCAGCCTGCATTAACTTACTCAGCTCTGGCAGATCTCAGATCTCCTTCTTTGAGAGTCTAAGTATGTCTTCATTTTTAAGAAGTTCAGCAGGCTGTTGCATTAGCACAGCTGAGGTGGTAGAACTGAGCCATTCCAGTACTGATTTGACACCATTTTATGAGGGTCTATCTGCTTCAGTGCTAAACACAACTCCTGCATTATTTCCAGGTTTTTTATACTGACTTGCTCTGACTTTAGCCCAGTTCTCTTTACTTTCTTACTCATAACTGTAAATAGTTTGAATGCATCATTTTCATCTCCCCTGATGAAAATCCTCAATCCTCTATTTGATCTGATAAACTGACAGCTTTGCTTTACCACTGTATTAATCAGTTTCACAGCTTTCATCCTAATAGCTTCAGCAGAAATTACACATTAAATCTCGAGAGGGAAGATTAAGCAACTGCAGTATTAAAAGCTTTTAAAGATGAGGACAATGTGTATGCCACATACTAACCAAGTAACAGCAAGCACCGTCCTCCCATAGACAGCTAGCATTATAACTTTGAGAATAAAAAGCCTAACTTCACCAGTAGTCCCTGTAGCAATCTGTTCTGTTAATACAGAACACTATTATGTGCTGCTAATCATCATGCAAGCTTTCTCATCTCCCTCCTTTCCCAATATCACAAGTTTTTGTATTCTAAGTAGGTGTACTAAACTAAGGGCACAGAAGTAGTGATTTTTACCTAATGCTTTTCGGAAGACATTCTGAAATTCAGACACCAACCCCCCACTCCCATATCTGTCCTCTCTTCTTATGACTTGTATTCTTGACTTTTATCTTGTATTCTTGTTTAAGTTCTGATTATAAACTTCCCAGAGGAGGAAGCATGTCTCTGGGAGGTGAAACATTTCAAATAGAAACCAATAATCAACAAAATGCCAAGATTTGTCTACACTTTAAGCAGAAAAGGTACACTTTTACTTTTGTCAGTGCAGATGACCCTAAAACACTTTAAGAATCCAGAACAATCACTTCCTTTCCTCCTGATACACACAGCAACTAGAAATGACAAAAGAATCCCAAGGTGGAAGTGCAGACCCTGGAAACTCTCACATGATGGAGAGATGTAATTCATCAGACTAGAATTCATCACAAAGATGTGTTTTTGCATTGCTATAATCTCATACAACTGTCTTTATTAAAGTAAAATTAACCTAAAATATGCAATCAAACCTTATCCATTATCAGAAGCAGTAAAAGCAACTTTTAAACCTTTTTTTTTCAAAGTTTGGAGGCGTTTTTGTTTTGTTGTTGATTTTGTTTTTCCTCCTGAAGAACAGGGAGGTCTCAGTACTTCAAACTCTTCTTCATTCATAATTCTTTGTCTTGGATATAAGGGTAACAAAAGCCTCTGATCCAGTCAACAGACTATGAGAGTTCACCTGAAGTATTACAAAACAGAATCTGAAGTTATTGCAATATACCGGTGAAGAAGTAAAATCATTCTCAAAAAGAGAAGCATGAGAGATTATTGTCAAGTAGGAATAAACAACTGAGGGAATTAATAAAGAGAGAACAATTGGCAATGTTCAGCTAAGCAGACGAGCAGTGGAGGATTATAGAAGACCACAATAAACAAAGTCAAATCATTGCTTCCCTCTGTTTTGGCAAAGAGCAACACACAGAGCTACATTAGAGTGAAAACTACAAGACAAGAAAAGTAACCCTTGTATCCTGACCAACAATGGAATCAGATCTTATGCTCTGCATACAGTTTTTGAACACCTTGCTTCAAAAAAGATCCTCGTTTTTCCTGACACAGAAACAACACATGGAAATGACGTAAGGGAAATGTTTCTGCCAGTAATGACACTGTATCCCTCAAACAGATTGCCTGGGGAGGCTGAAGAATATCTATCAGAAAAACAAACCAAAGAAAAGTATTCAAATAAACATCTGTTTTAGAATCACTGGGAGGAAGGGCTGGGAAAGGATAAACCTGACAACTTTGAGGTCCTTACAGCTCCACAGTCACTTCCCTCACCAGAGCTCCAGAATTTGAGCTATTTATTCTGCCCACAGGCTGGAATGACAGCTCTACATATCTACTTTTGGATGGAGTGGAAAATCTGTGTTTTTTCCTTCCAAACTGCTGGTGCTACAACATAACTACCGATAACTATTCGCTTATTTTCACATAGAAGATAAATCACAATTAATTTTTATTACTTTTACACTTATTTTCAAAAATGTTTGAAAGGTTACATAATTAATATGCTGTATGAAATTGCACTGGATTTTCTTGGTATGGTACAAGTACTTGATTTTTTTGTCATCTCCTTTTAAAAACCACTACTTTTCACTTAAAGCACCTTATTACAATCATGGAAACGTATTACATATCCATTACCTAGGAGCCAAATTTTAGGCCTCAAAAATACTGCTGCAGGCTCCTGACAGTACTCTCAGAACCCTACACCACAATATTTTTTTTAAAGCTGCCAAACAATATCTGATTCACCAGACACATAATCAATAAAGATCTAGTTAACATACAAAGTAGACTATAGCAACACCAAAACGAAAGGCAGATTTTGCTATTGTTTAAAAGCACCTGGGTTAAGGAAACTTCTCTTGGTTTAGGAACATTCTGACACTAAGCTGACATGACAGAACACTTTGATATAACCAATTATCACTAAGCTCCTGAGAAATAATCCATAAGCAACCTTCAGGATCAGAACCATTTCTCTGTATTACACTTTTCTATAGTATCAACTAATGGCATCATTTAAATCTCAAATTTGTTATGACCTTGGATTTTCTTTTGCTTGCTTTTCTTCTAGCAAAGAGATATTGACGATGTTACAGCAATACATAAAAATTATAGGGGACTTCAGAATCTGAACAACCACAAACTTTTTAGGTTCTGTTTTAGTAACTGTTAAAGACACACACACATGCCATGTGGAATTCTCTCTGTTTCCACAGTCACATATTTAGTTACCTGAAATGCTGCACAAGGATTTAGTATAAAAACATCACACTTAAAATTTGAAAAGCTGTTTTTAAACTACTCAGAATGATTAATGCCATTGGCAGCAGAATTTGTAAGTAATTTTTTCCACCACAACACATGAACATTTAGCAATTTACATGACCATCCACTCTGTCATCCTAGCACAGTACTGCACTCCTTACTATGAGCTCATCAATAATTACCTCAATTTCCCATATAAATAAGTCATAGTTCTGCTCCACATAAACAGACAGCCAGGTGTGGCCTGTATGACAACCAAGGTTCTTGTAAGACCTACTGCATTTTGCACCTTGACAACTGAAATAACTGTCCCTGTATTAAACGTGCACAGCACCACTACAAGTGCTTCAGGACATTCCCCTGATAAACTGCATAGTGAGTTTGAACCCAGGCTATCAAAAACCACAGAAGCTGAAGTTCCAGACACTGGTTCAGGTCAGTGTATTCTTTAGGGACAAACACAGTATGTCCATGGATGCTCTGAACAGAAGGCTGAGATGAGCTTGTTGTCCTTCTCTAGTAGTCTAGGTTTATCTGCTTATTCCACATTTGAAGTTGTTTCTGTAACTTGAGCATTTATTTCATGGTATTAAGTGAAGCCTTTAAACATATTTTCCAACTGAAATAAATGCAAAGTAGCTCTTTAGAACCTGTCAAAATACACTACTAAACATATAGATACAGGATTGCTGAAGTACCATTCTAACTGAAGTGGGCTCTACTGGCTTACAGACATATCCATTAACATGCAGGGGGGTTGTTACTGTATCAAGTGAATTAAAAGAATTAGAACTAATTTGTTACCCATACTTTGGTCAAAATATTTTTCAAAAAACTATTAGGACAAGCCTTGACAGAATGGTAAGTTTTATGGTCACAGCTTCAAATGACATCCACACCTCCAATTACCTCAGATGCCAAATGAATATGACTCACCCTGCAAACCACCTGTCTGCCCCCCAAACAGCCCCTACTGTGGTACAGCACAGTAATACTTTTGGTATTCTTCCTAAGACTCCAAGAATCAAAACAAACACAGCTCAACAAATAATATGGGCCACCAGGGAGATTACTGTGCAAAAATGGTAGCAATGACAGCTCAACTCTTTGCAACAAATACCCATTACAGTGTTTGTGGAAGTCACCCAATACATCCTATTGATGTTTTTCACTTGCTATGCTAAACTACTTTTGCAAAGGCACGCATCTTCATAGGATCAGTTATCTTAACAAGGCAACAACTCGTGTTTCTTATTTAGATGACTTTTGATCTGTCAAGAACTCTTACTACATTACAATTCACTATATCAGGAAAGGAAATTTTAAAAGCAGGCCTATTTCACAAATTTCCTGATCCTACCTTTCAATGCAACTTCAAAATAAAGACTTTTGTGTACAACTTTTTTTCCAGACTTCTTTCTTTCTTATTGGGTGAGAGAAAAATAAATTCTGTGAGAGCCTGACTCAGCTACAAGAAAACTTATTTTATTACATACATTTGCTTACACAATTTTAAATAAGCATACTTCTTCCAAATGAAATTTCAATCTATAAGTATATATTCTTCATTCCTGCATTAAAGATAAAACTAACAGTCTGACACCACTCTTCATTGCTACAGTACACATTTCTTTTCTAGATAGTGTGGCAAAAATCCAATCAAAAGTCATTCTTCTAAACTGCTTAACTGGGTGCACAGACAACTGCAAATCAAGAACTACACTGAAAAAAAAAGTGCTGAATATGGTACAGTATAGAAAAAGGACCTAAACACAGTCTCTAAGCTTTCTAACACATCCTATAAAGTACACAGTCTCTAAATTTAGAATAAACTTTCTAAGTCTTTGTGCACCACGGAGATTCACATGCTATGCAACTCAGATATTTCAGTGTTAACTGACCAGCAGTACCCAGTAAAGCCCATGTGCAGTGCAGGGCATCCTGAGAACACTCAGCTCCACCACAGCCAACACTGCTCCCCACAAACATTCAAGAGAACTTCTAGAGATGCAGCAGGAGGTGCTACTCTCCTCCAGGTGCAAAACCCTTCCCGGGCAGTATAACTACAGATTAATTAATTTCACTCGTGCAAAAGAAAAGGCACATCAACTACAAGCACTGAAAAATCTTCCCTGGATTCTGGGCCCACGTTCCGCTTGACCCTGAGTTCGGGGGTTGCTCTGCTAGCTCGGACCTCCTCTCCTCACGCGAAGAGAGAGGTGTGAGCGTTTCACAGCCTCGCTGAAGCGATGTCAGCGATGTCGCTTCGCCAGGGACTCTCCTCCCACCCGCGGCTGCTCGGATGACACAACGCAGACCCCGCGCAGGGACCTCCCCTTTTCCCGGCGCACTGAGTTACCGCCGCGGTGTTGTGGGAGAAAAACTACCAAACACAACAAAAAAACCCAGCTAAACAAGAACAAACCAGACCAATAAATAAAAAAGGGAAATTAACAGCAAGCTCCTTGCCCCCGAAGGCCTGTCCGTGTTCGCCCGGCCACTGCGCACCCCGCCGGCTGCCCCGCACCCACAGACAGCCCCGGCCCCTCACGGACGGCCACTCGAGAGGCCACCACGGCCCGCCCGCGGCCCTCTCGACCCACCGGCTGAGGCGCCCGCCCTCAGGCCGTCCCGGAGGGAAGGAGCAAGGCGGCTGCTCCACAGCACAACCCACCGTCCCTAACACCGGCAACGTCCCCCTCCCGCCCCCTTTTGTGGGCGCCCCGCGAGCCGAGCCCGGCCGGGGCCGGCGCCGGGGCCGGGCCCGCACTCACCCCGCCCGCTCATGCCCCGCCTCCCAACCGCCGCCCAGCCAATCGCGCCGCCAGCAGCGCCGCGCCGGCCAATCCTGAGCCAGGGCGGAGGGCAGCCACCAATCCTGAGTGGGGGCGGGGCCGGAGCGGGGCGCGGGGCCATGGCGCGCCCTCCGGTGCTGTGGGCTCCGGGCGTTTGCGGGGCTTGTCGTGGTTTAACCCCCACAGGCAGCTGCTCCCGCCCTGCCCGCAGCAAGACTGGTGAGAGAACCGAAAGGGTGGAAGCTACAAAACTCAGGCATTGGGATATGGACGGTTCATAACGGGGAAAGCAAAAGGCACGCGCACAAGCAAACCAACACAAGGAATGAATTCCGTGCTCCCCGCTGCTGAGCAGGTGTTCAGCCATTTCCCCCAGAGCATAGCCCCATCACACTGAGGTTGATTTGGGAGGACAAACACCATCAGTCCAAACATCCCACCATTCCTTCTCTGCACTTTTTACTGACTGTGATGCCATATAGTCTGGAATATCCCTTTAGTCAGTTTGGGGTCACCTATTCTGGCTGTGTCCCCTCCCAGCCTCCCAGGCACCCCAAGATATTTCCCCAGTGAGGTGGTGTGAAAAGCAGAAAAGGCTCTGTGCAATCCCTGCTCAGCAATAACAAAAAACATCTCTGAATGACCAACTCTGTTCAGCACAAAACCAAATCACAGCCTTATACTAGATATTGTGAAGAAAACTACCTGAACACCAGTCAACCAGCACAGACAACTATTAATTTTTATTAATATTAGTCATTAGTCCAGGAAATCTCTCAATGTCAACTTTGTGTGAAATATTTCAATTAAGATAATCTGACATTGTTTGACACTGTTATCTGCACAAGTATTCCTACCCTCTGTTCCAAGGATAAACAAAATCACTCCCTGGAAAATAGAAAAAGAAAAAAGTGTTAGGTGATGGCACCCTAACCTGCTTCCATCTACAGCAAAAGTTTTTTTGGCTGTTCAGTATTACCATGCTGGGTACTCTCTAAATGGTTAGGAGTGAATAATTTAGGAATGCCAATATCTATCTATGGAAAGATGACAACCATGAAAGAGAACAAACTTTATCGCCAAAGAAGAAAACAAGTGATCACTGGGCCTAAAGAAATATGATTTCTCTTAATGTAGCCCATATTCGTGCTGCCCCTCAGCAAAAAGAGTAAAAGAATTAAACTCCTCCCTTCATCCCTTACATTATCAGTTCAGATGTCATTTTTACTCATTTTATTCTTCTGTGTTTTCTTTCATTATTTTTCATGTCCCTCCAGTTTAAGCAAGAGAAGTGACAGGATGCACTGCAGTTACTTTCTAGTGTTCTAATACCTTGGCCAGTATGTGCAATGCCAGCTGCCAGCCTCCTGAATGGCTAATTGGGGAAGCCAGAAATCCTGACTTAGTTTTCTTTCCCCTGTATATAGCTGCTGATTTTTTGCAGAACTTACAAAATCTACATCTGTTGAAGATGATCACCTGGCTAATAGAAAAAGCAGAGGCATTCAGTGACTTCTTTTTTTTTTGCTTCAGTCTTTAGTAAACTGACAGGCCTTTTAGTAAACTGTGTGGCCTGGTCCCCTGAGTCAGTACTGTCAGTGTGAGAACAGTCATATTCTGATCCTGGACACTAAAATTGTAATGGACAGTCTATTTAAGGTAAATGTTCACAAGACCATGGAGTCTGGTGGGATTATCACATGGTACCAGTAGAACTGGTGACCCCTTTTGATCATCTAAAAAGTCTTGGGAGATCAGGGAGGTCCCCACTGACTGGAATTTAGCTGTGTTTTTCCAACATAGTTTTACCCAAAAAGGTCTGAGGGATGACTCAGAGAATGACAGACCTGTGGGTTTAAGGACTTGGGGAAGTTATGGAGAAGAACATACTGGATACCATGGAAAGACAGTCAAAGAGTAATACAATCTTCAGGCGCAGTCAACATGGATTCAGAAAGGGAAAGTCCTGCTTAACTAATTTTTATCCTTCTAGGCTAAGGTCACCTGCCCAGAGGATGAAGGGAAGGCTTCATTAAAAGTGCGTGTTGGGTTTTTTGAATTTTAATAAGGCTTTTGACACTGTCCTTTATAACATACTTTTAGAAAGGTTGTACAAAGAGAAGGTACAAGCTGCACTGGGTGAAGGACAGGGATCAAGGGGCTGTTGTGAATGTGCCTGACTAGCTGCTGGTTCAAAACTATCATGTACACAGACAGACTTATGGAAAGGCAAGCCCAATTCAGATACTTTGAGGCAATGATGTGAATTATTCAAAAAGATCAAGAGAGGCTAGTGTTTGTAGACTATCTCTACTATTACTAGAGCCTAAATCCCTCAGCAGCATTGGATACAGCTTTTCAAATTACGCTTATATTGAAAAACATCCTCTTAAGGAAACAGCCCCCCAGCACCCACAGACTGGTATAAAAGGAAACAGGAGAAATGAGGCACTAAAGGTAAAAATGTCTTTTGTGAATTCTCACAATGGTGCATCAACTCATCATTCCATGGCAATACAAAAAGATTTGGCTGAAAATGTCTGTCTAAATAGAGGAATGCTACTACTGTGCAAACACCTTGCTTTTGTATCTTCAGCTGAGGAAAAAGTGGGAATTCTTTCTGAAGACTTGCTTTGCTGATTGATGCTTATACTCCATTAAAAACAAAATACAGAAGTCCATTAAGTTTTTTTTAAATGAATTTTTAATGGTTGCATAAGACCCTTCTGATGCATCTGATGCATCTATGCTATCATTCATGTTGTAGTCAAAGGATTAAATAAACACATATATAGAAAGATCTGTGCAGGTAAGCATTTACTATTTCATAACTTTTAAAATCTTCCAGTATTCAGACCATGCGGTTTTCTCCTCAGGAAGCCAAACTGTAGCTTCTCATACTGATGCTGCACCCAGAAAGAGCATACAGAATACTGTGTCAAGATCACTGTATCAAGGCATGCCACCTCTTTTCCATCCCTAGATTATGATGCTTTATAATGATAGAAAAAAAATTTGATGACCATCCTTCCTCACAGAGGATTTAAAAGAAAACTGTGACAGAGTACTGAAAGACAGGCATGAAATTATGATTCCTGTAAAAAATTCTATTGTAAACCATAAACTGTCATGTCTGTGTGCTTTCTTGATGTGTCCCATTTTCTCTGCAGAAATTTTGTCCAGTACTTTTCAAGTATTTTATTTTATTTTTTTTTTCAGATGCTTGGTATTCCTACAGTGTGCATGAACAACAGCTTCAATTGGAGTTGCTATTCTATGTTAGGAATGTTGTACAGTTGGTTATTTCAGGATGTTTCTCAGCAAACAAGATATTATGTGTACTTCAAAGCAGAGCAAATAGTTTTAGAAGGATGAGAATTATTGTATGTACATACTACAAGCGATTTATTTAAGTACAATTACTCAGAGGTATCCCCCAAATTCTGAAATTACAGCACAAGAAGCTGTAAAAACATCAGTAACAAATACAGAACTGCAAATGAAATCTTGTCTCCAGAAAATTCAGATGGCTGTAAGTTTAGGAAAACATATTGTGTTCCAGTTTAAAACTCAGATAATGTAAATATAATCCCATATGACACAAGAGCAAGGAAATATCCAGTTTAATAAAGTAAAGGTGGAAAATTTTAAACTGGTGAAAATAATTTTGCTGACACATTGTAAAACTAGACAGGAGGTATTTCTGCAAGGAAGTATTACTTACAAATTGTGTTATTTAAAACTATCATTAAGAACAAGTGTTTAGCAGAATATAAGGTATACTTTGCAAATTAGAGATAAGGTCAATCTAAGTTTACATTAGTATAAATAACAAATGCATACAACAATTATGGAAGGAATTACTATAAATCTATGTCCAGGATTTTAGATTTCAAAGTATTTTTAATTGATTAAAAAGACTATTTCTTCATGATTGGATTATTTCCTGACCTTGTACTTCAGAGTACTTCCCCCAGTTCCTTTTTTTCCTGCTCTAGCAAAGGCTTAACAAGATTTAATTTTTTCTTCACTTACTATGGTAATTTCTACATAACAAAACATTAATTTTTGTATTAAAATCAATTAAATAGTCCTGCAAATACACAAATAAACTGAACTAGCTTAATAAAAATGATTTTTCTCTCTTACAGCTAAAATCACTTCCTTTGCATTGCTCTAGGACTCAGCCTATTTAGCTGCTAAATAAACTAGTTACTGTTTCAGATTCTTTTACACCTCCAAAAGCAAAGAAAAAAAAGAGTAGCAAATGAAGTATGGTTTTATTCCAGGTCACATTATCTAGCTAATCCAGTAGGATGCTAAAACACAACTATAAGATATAAAAAAATATTGCTTTGACTGTCCTCATTTGTGCATTTAAACCAGGTATGAAAGAATAACAATGTTTTATTGGTAATATCTGGTTGTTATTCGTAGCAATTACTAACTGGTTAATAAATATATGTTTTATATTGCAATAGAATAGAATAGAATAGAATAGAATAGAATAGAATAGAATAGAATAGAATAGAATTAGAATTTTCAGTTGTAAGGGACATAAAATGATCATCCAGTCCAATTGCCTGACCCCTTCAGGCTTGATCAACAAGCAGAGTGTGTTATGAAGGGCATCGCACAAATACCTGCTAAACTACAAATTACAGAGTCAGCCATGTTCCCATCGTCCAGACCTCTTCAAATACCTGTTGATATGGTTTAGCAAA